TCAAACAACTCCAGTCCTGCACCACATGTCCGATGATATTTCCGGGCGGCGCCTCCACTTGCATGTACTGCAGGCAACAACAACAGCAACAAGTCTCACATCTGAGTGGACGAGACAAATGCATGACCTCTTGTTTGGTGACACTATAGATGGACATCTCAAACGCACGGCTGGGTCCGCAAAACTGACGCGTTATAACATCGGTCTCTTCTGCCGCATAGAACACGTGTTGTCCCATATTGTTCTGGATGTCATACCTATTATTTGTCTCGAAAGTTGTGAACACTTCCAGAATTTCAACGATTTGTTTGATCAGCAATTGATCGACAACTAAGAGATACTCGAGTCCTGGCGGACAGTTGACTGGAATGGCAACGATGGGCATCGACACGCTTTTTGGCTGTTGAGGTGCCCCTGACTGCGGGGGTTGGGATTGTTGTGCCGTCTGTTGTGTCTGAGGTGTCGGTGCTATTATAGGAGTTGTCTGAACATTATCGGGTGATGGTTGGCTTCTAGGAGAACTCATTTTGGTAATGTTTAGAAGATTAAGACTTTTCAACTCAAATTCTTATGATATATAAAAGAGATTTGAATTTATATGCCTATATCAATACATATAACAATGTAAATTACTTACGATATTAAATTAATACATTCATACTGTACTTGTCAACTAGCTTATAGTTATAAGTTATAAGTTATAAGGCTCGGCGAAAAAAGTGGTATAGTTTGCTCGTGCATAGTATAAATAGTACTAATCTAATAATATAATTAAAAGTGATTTAAAAATTTTACTAATAAATTAAAAATTTTAGTACCATTTATGCTATGCACGCGCTAACTATACCCCAATTTTTCCCGAGCCTTAGTTATAAGTTATAACTTTAGTCAATAAATACATCTATAATATAAATATATATTTATAGTATATAATTTTATACTAATTAAACCTTAAATCAATTAAAAAAATTATGATACTGATTAGCTATTCAGTCTTATAAATTTGTGTAAATAATACTAAAATTCTAGATTTTATCACTAACACAATAAAATATATAAATAAAAACTAATGAATAAATTGAAATTAATTTAAGCAAATAAATAAAAACAATTAAAAATTAATTTAATCTTTTTATTGTAAAATATATGTTTAATTCAATAAATGTTTAAAAGTTTTAAAACAATCCACATATCAATAAAATGCTCTAATCTTCTAATAATATGAATAAAT